TGGAATTAAGTACTTTTTTCTTCTTTCTTATTACTCTTTTCTGCTTAGTTCACATGCACACAATACACTGACACGATTTCATAATCTATTGCCATGGTATAATTCTCTTTATACTCATATTTCAATGCATGTTTTTGTTTGCTTGTTTTTTTATCCCACGGTTATTATTATTATTATTAGAACTGCATCTGTTGGGACTGTGTTTTTTTCCCCTAGCTTTATTGAGGTATAATTGAGAAATAAAGTGTATATGTTTAAGATGTACAAAGCGATGATTTGATATACATATGCATTGTGAAATGATTACTACATTCAAGCTGATTAACACATCCATCACCTCACTTAGTTCTCATTTGTGTGTGTGTAGCGGGGCGGGGTGGTAAGAACACTCAAGATTCACCCTCTTAGCTAACTTCAGTTATGCAATAAGTATCGTTGCCACGCTGTGCCGTAGATCCACAGAACATAGTCATCTTCTAACTGGGAGTTTGCATCCTTTGACCAATGTCTCCACATTTCCTCCACTCCCCAGCCCCTGGCAACCGCCATTCCACTCTCTGGTCCTGTGAGTGTGACTGTTTCAGCTCCCACACGGAAGTGAAATCATACAATATTTTTCTGTCTGGCTGTTTTTACTTAGTATAATGTCCTCCATTTTCATCTATGTTGTTGCAAATGGCAACATTTCCTTCTTTTTTTTTTTTTTTTACAATTGAATAATATTCCATTGTGTATATATACCAATTCTCTTTATCCATTTATCCATCCATTGCTGCACACGAATAGTGCTAGAGAGAGTGTGTGTGTGTGTGTGTGTGTGTGTGTGTGTGTGTGTGTGTTTAACATTCCTCCAAATGACTGCCTCAAACTCCATATCCCCTACTAACCCAGTAGGAACAAGACCAGAAAATAGCTAAAACATTTAAGGAGAGTTTTCTGTACTTATTTTTACTCTGAAAACTTTTCGCAGATCAAAACAATGAAAAGTGTCAAAAAAATAAATAAGCTTTTTTGTGTGTGATTCTGGTTTCCCATTACATAATCCTCCAGGGAGTTTCGGGAGCTGCTAGATGCTTGCGATGAACATTATGAAATAAATACTTTAGCACCATTTTCTCTTCTTCCTTCCTTTCCCCTCTTTGTTCTTTTGTGTTTTCCTCCTCCTCTTTCTCCTCCTCCCCCTCCTCCTTCATTAATTTATTTTATATACAGCTACTCCCCTCCTTTTGGATATATTTAGCAGACCCCTGAGTATAAAGGGTATTGCGTGAAAGCCTCTCCATAGCTGTAAATGTCTTTGCTCTTTCAGCCCAATCACGTCGAAAGTCTTTTTTGTCCCTTGATACTGATCAAACACTTTCCAATGCATTTAAAAATGATCCAAAGCCCCTTCAAGAAAAGCTTACCATTTTTTGGTCTGTGTCTCTGCTCTTCTTAAATCCCATTGACGGAACATGCATAATGTTATAAAAGAAACTCTGGGGGTAGAATTTGAGAACCTGCGTTTGAGTCTCTTCTCTGCCACTTATTAGGTTTCTGACCTTGGGCAAGTTATTTAATCTTTCTGAGCATCCGTTTCCATATCTGTAAAATTGGCGTAATAATATCTGGCTTATATATTTGTAGTGATTAAATGGGATAAATCTGATAGAAGAAAAACTCATTGTAAATTGTAGAGTTCTATTTAATATTAATATATAAATTATAATGGTACTAGTGATAATAATTTAATTTGAAAAAATCCTCCTCTTTGCCTGAATGCGGCCAAATAAACGCGAGTCTCAGAGGAGGTTGAGTTTTTCACATGACACAGCCCATTTTAAATGATGTGGTATGGTTCGACCACAATTTATGTAACCATCTTCTAAATTGTACAGCTAAATAGTTTCAGACTATTTGGGCCTATAAAGAACACTGCAGTTGGCACGCTCATGCATAAATAATAATTTATCTTTAATCAGGAGTTGGACTCCAGAAGGCCAGTTTCTTTCTCGAAGGGCTGGCATTGCTCTGGGTTCCTGTCTTGTTGCTGGTGCTCTGTTCTCCAGAGACTTCCTTTTCCTTTATGTCCTCTGGATTCCAGAAGAGCTTCCAGAAAGGCCTGGGTGTGGGTGGGGTTGCAAGAGGATGGCTTTGCGGTTGTTTGTTGGAGGGCCAGCTGGACTAATAATGCCCCTTTGCTTTGGAGGACCTTGGTGTCGAAAGAATAG